AAGGTGCGCCTGATACAGGCCATGGTTTTTGCAATCACTTGTTATGCATCAGAGAGCTGGACAATGACTAGGGAGGACAGAAGGAGAATTGACGCCTTTGAGCTGTGGTGCTGGAGAAGAGTATTGAATGTACCATGAACTGCCAAGAAAACAAACAGATTCATCCGAGAGAAGGTTAAACCAGGCTACTCCTTGGAGGCAAAGATTGTGGGGCTTCGTCTGACATACTTTGGACATGTTGTAAGGAGAGACAGGTCTTTAGAGAGGGACATCATGCTGGGTAGAGTAGAGGGTCAGTGCAGGAGGGGAAGACCCTCTATGAGGTGGATTGATTCAGTAACTAGGGTAATCGGAATGGGTGTGTCGGAGGCAGTGCGGTTGGTGCAGGATAGAGCAGGGTTTAGGGCTGTTGTACATAGGGTCGCTATGAGTCGCAAACGACTCGACGGCACATAACAATAACAGTCCATAAATTTACTTTTTAAAATGAAGGTATTGAAAGAAAAGAACTCAAAATTAGATACATAGAACACACGCAGATCTCTTCAATTAACTCTAAATGGCTTCTGTAACTAATTGATTTAAATTATCTCTGATCCAAGAGGGAGCTCTGATAACCTAGTGGTAAGAAACTGCACTATAATCCCAAAGAGACATGGTTTGAATACACCAGCTACTCCACAGCAGAAAGATAGGCAGTGTCCTCCTGTGCAGTTAATTGCCTCTGCACACCCTCTGGCGGGTCAGCTATGGGTCAGTTCTGATTTCACAGTACACTACAACTGCCCAGCTCTCTGATCCAGATCACGTCTTGCATTTGATTGTTCAGTGTCCCTGAAAGCAAATTTCTAATCTGATACAGACCATATTCTAGCATAGTGACTGGTTCAAGAAACTGGACCCGTTCCATACATTCTATAGTTGTCTTGGTTCCTTTTCTGTCATGGTGTTCAGCATTCCTTTAGTCCCTGTTGGCCAAATTTGTAGGAAGTTGCACTGGTAACCCAAAGGCGGCCCCTCTCTGGTGCTTGGAAACCACCAACAGGTCTGCAGGCAAAAGATGGACAGTCCCTCCCCCCCACCCCCACCCCCTCAATTTACAGCCTAGTAAAACCCACTGGAGGATCAGCTACGAGTTCCAACTTGAGAGCAATGAATGAGTTAGCTCCTCTGTTTCTGTAAAACAGAAACTATCTAAATTATTGATAAATTAAAATTACCGTTTTTGCTAATACAAATCACAGTTAATACTGTATACTCTTACGTTGCCAACATCAGAAAATCGTACTTCTTCATTTTGTCTACCCCTAGCAATGCAAAGATTCAACAGGACTTTGAGGTGATTACAGGGTGAAACTTTAAATTACTTTTTCCTTTTAAGACTAGTCTGTTGTTATTTTGGCAACAAGTATCTAATTCTATATTATTGTTGTTGTTGCTGCTGCTGTGTACCATACAGTCAGAACTGACCCAAAGCTGACCTTCTGGGGCGTTTTCAGAGTCAGTTAGTTGCACAGGAGGAGATTGTCCACTCATCTTCCATGGAGCAGCTGGTGAATTCAAACCACGTGCCTTCAGGATTGCAACCCAGCTTTAGCACTCATTCTCTTAGCTATTTTAACACCAATTGATAATCTTTGTCTAAATCAGTTCTTTCTTTAGGGTTGGAAAATTGTGTTTCTCTAATTTTGTCATTCTTTCTACATTCATTAACAAGAATTTATATTTTTTTTGTAAAGTAGACATTTTCCTATCAACTTGAGAGCTTTAATTATTCTAACATACATTTGATTTACTCGAAAATATAATATTACCTATAATTAGTCTAACAATCAGTTGTAACATAAAGGACAAAAGCTTAATGTTTTCTTTTTAACTACCAGCTTTCAAAATAATGAGACATTTTAATAACTGCCTTAGAAATGTAAACAGTTCAGACACCCCAGGATTGTGTTGAGACCATCATTTTTCCAGCAATATTTCACTCACATCTGTTAGGGGCTAGCTGTAGGAATATGTGGGGAGCAGAAAAGATGTAGAGTCTGTTTTCATAATGTTTATAACGTTAAAACTAGAAGCAAAAAAAAATTTAAAAAAAAACTAGAAGCAAAAAAAACCCAAACCAATGTGCAATTATATTAAAGGGCATGAAGGAGGAAAACACACTATTTTGGGAACCCTGGGTGCTCCAAGGGTGTGCTTCCTGGAGGAGGTAAAGCTTAAAAGATAAGTAGAAATTGGCAAGAAAAGAACATTTCCAAGAAATTAAAATCATCTCCCTGTGTAAACACTCTGTAGTAGAAAGGGATGTGGTTCTTTTTAGAAACTGAAGGAAGGCCGTTGTGGTTGAGAACAAATAGTTACGGAGAGAGTAGCGGAAAAGAGGTGGGGTGGGGTGGGATGGGGTGGGGTAGGCGCGGAAGCAGGTCAGGTAGGATCTTGAGGTCTTATGTAGGATTTTGGACTTTAAAAAGCAGTGAGAAGTTAATGAGTCAGAGAAAGAAAGAGAGAGAGAGAGTGTGTGTGTGTGTGGACATAATCAGACTTTAATGAAATGTAAATGATGACAGGGACAGTGAGCTCCTGTGCAATAATAAGCAAACATAATTGTTTTTTAAGAACGTAGGGCATTTACACCTGTGCTTCCCTTGTATTGTGGAGAAAATAATGTGTTCTGTGATTTTGCTATAATTTGGTGAATAAATAAATCCTTGTACTCTCTATATTATAAGCTCACTATATACTCTTGGGCCCAATGATAACTTGTTCTTTATATGAGTGATATTAGCAGCAGGGGACCTATCTTAGCATCACCCCAGAATGGACAGCAGTGGGCACTTCTCATTTCCAAACCTTGTAAATGGAACCAGAGGGCTCAGAGATATGAAGCTACAGGGTTTTAGGCTATAAATTATCATACATAATTTTGTGTGTTAACTCCTTCAAATTTTAAGTAGCAATCTGTTTTAGTTCCCTAGGGCTGCCAAAACAAAGTACCACAAATTTATAAAAAAACAAACAAACAAAAAAAAAACAACCAACTTTGAAGAACAGACTTTTTCTTCACTATTTCAAAAGCTGTAACTTCAAATCTGGGACTCAGTCACCTTGATTCCTTCTCAAGACTCAAGCCACTGTGCTGCATCTCTCTGCTTGTTCCCTGTGGCGGCTGGCGACCCTTGGCGTTCTTTCCTTTCCCCTGTATACCGTGGTTCAGTACCTGCCGGTCTTTCACAAGACACTGCTCCAAATAGATTAGACTTAGGACCCATCATATTCCAGGACATACTTCAGGACAACTTTGACAGATAAAACCTACAAAGAAAAGTCCTATTTCCCCAAACAAGGTCCTGTTCACTGGTATAGGGTACCATATTCCTGTTACCAAGAGGGATCCTCCCTGGAAAAGGACATCATGCTTTGGAAAGTAGAGGGTCAGTGAAGGAGAAAAAGTCCCTCAAGAGGGTGGATCAAAGCAGTGCAGCAGCAGTGAGACTGAGCACAGCAGAGATAATGAGGCTGGTGTGTTATTAGACAAGGCCTCCTCCTGCTCTACCTGGGGCCATTGTGAGTGGGAGCTGACTTAATGGCACCCAGCAACACCGAGGGGTACCATATCTTAGCAAGGAGGGCTCTGTTCTATCCGTAACACAATCTACAGCTTTTAAGGTGGTGTTCTATATCTACATGCACTCCTTAGGACAGTTTAAGTGTTGTGTGTCTACTACCTGAACCTGTAATAATGTAAGTTGAAAGTTTTCAGGAAAATAGTGATTACCTTTTTAAAAAATATGCTCCTTCATTGGGTAATAAGATAAAAGAGAGCCATGAAGAATAAAACTATTTTTACATGTGGAATATGTGAACTCTAGCTCTAAAATTTTCTTTCAGATACGATCCCAAAACAGATATGTGGACTGCAGTGGCATCCATGAGCATCAGCAGGGATGCAGTGGGGGTCTGTTTGCTTGGTGATAAACTGTATGCCGTTGGAGGGTATGATGGACAGACTTACCTTAATACAGTGGAAGCTTACGATCCTCAGACAAATGAGTGGACTCAGGTATGGCATCTTCACTGTTCAAGCTTTTTTGGTCATTTTGGTATAACAGATCCTTTGTTTTCTCTGGTGTGGAAACTGGTAATATAAATGTGAGAAAGTAATCTCATATTTAAGTATGACACTGATTAAATACAAAAAAGCCAAAAGGAATTTCAAAGTCTATAGCATAACTAGAATCCAAAATGTTCTTTGAAGTGTAAGTTAATAGTCAGAGACAATATTATTTAGTCAGCTCCACAGTCAAAACGCTTTGTACCAGCAGCCAGGAAATCAAGAGACAAATTGCATTGGGAGAGTCAGCTGTCAGAGACCTCTCCAGAGTACTAAATAGCAACCATGTCAGGCTGGAAAGTAAGGTGCCCCTGATCCAGGCCATAGTCTTCGCAATTGCATGCTATTCTTTGGAGAACTGGACAGTTACTAGGGATGATAGAGAATTGATGCCTTTGAGCTGTGGTGCTGGAGAAGAGTGTTGAATATACCATGGACTGCTAGGAGAACAAACAGGTCTGTCTTGGAGAGGGTGAAGCCAGAATGCTCCTTGGAGGTAAGGATTCTGAAGCTTTGTATGACATACTTTGGGCATGTTGCAAGGAGGGATCAGTCCTTGGAGAGGGACATCATATTTGAGAGAGTGGAGGGACAACGCAGGAGAGGAAGACCCTGGATGAGATAGATCAATACAGTGATTGGAGTGGTGGGAGTGAGTGTGGCAGAGACAGTGAAGTTGGCACAGGATAGAGCAGGGTTTAAGGCTCTTGTATATGGGTTGACTACAACACATAACACTATAACACTTGACAGCACATAACAACAACCACAACCATTCCCTTAGTAACAAGATATTCTAACTGACAAACATACAAAACACAAACTCACTGCCATCAGGTTGAAATTGGCTCAATAGCTGACCCTCCAGGAGGTTTTCAGAGGTTGTCACTTCATGGGCAGAGATTGCCCATCATTCTTCTGCAGAGCAACTCGTGAATTCAAACTGCCCACCTTTAGGTTGGTAGCAGAACACATTAGAGTTCAGCCAGTTAGACTACAAGAGGATTCTAATAACTGAAGAAAAAACTGTGGGAAAATAAAAAGGAAGATAAAGATACTGTCCCTGACACTCCCATCCCGATTACCCCAGTCACTGAATCAATCCACCTCATAGAGGGCCTTCCCCTCCTGC